GACGAAATATGTAAATGCCAAGGACATGTCCTGAAACAGCTCGAAAGTCGATTGTCAGGAAATTTTTCTCCCCTTTGAAAACTGTCAGGCCAGATTTCATAGCCTTCTTTGTATTTTCTTGTACAGCAACTTCTTGCATTCTCAGGATTTCAGATTCAGAACTGGCGAAACGCGAGTTTACGCCGCATTATTCACTTTGTAGAGGGTGATTAATGCTCATAAGTATCACCCAACTGGTGGACTAATGCAAATCCTGCATTTTAATTGGCTACAATTATAGGAAATTGAAAGTGGCACAATCGAGCGTGACGCTTTTTTTCGTTTTATTCCCAAATAAATGTTTCCTCAATTTGCATTTCCTTACTTTATTATCGCCTTTCCTGTCCGACTAGTTGGGTGATACTAAAACAATTAGACCCTTCGCCCTCAAGGGCCACGGGTCAATAGCCCATTCGGCTTCGCCTCATGGGCTATTGACCCGTAGCCCTTGCGGGCTAGGGTGTAATTGTTAATTAGTCACAGATAGCGAGCCAATAACACCAAGATTACTGAATGTGTATACACTAAAATGGAATATCTAACAGAACGGTTTTCAAAGCAACGGTACCTTAAACCTCCTTCGGAAGAAATGTTTCTGAAGGAACTATTAACAAATGCCTTCAAAGGTTTCATCTGCCCGCAAGAAAACACGACGTCAATTTCTACAACACTTGCCGTAATTCGGTAATTTACATCAGTGGGAACTTTCCGAACAATGAAATAATCTTTCGAAACATCTGTGAATTAATCGCTTTTTCTGTTGTGTTTTACCGTTCTGTAATTTCCCTAAAGTCTGAGTTTTTTTGTTGACCACTTGATGAATCATGTGACTTTTTTGCACTTACACTATTTGAACGTGAATGTACTTGCGAAAGACTTCTTGCGATCTGCTAAGTCATTTTTGCGTTTTTCGAATTTATATGTTTGAGTCCTAACTCTGAGCTACTAGTGAGACATTCTTTTTTTATTTAATCTCTAGCTGGTCTGGAGTAATAACAAATAGAAGACTATTCCCTTTCTTCCATATAAATGGCTACTGCAAAAGAGGACATAGCAGGAGACTGGTTTGCAGCCCTTATCACTGAATCTGTGGTAAT